TATTTATTTGAGAGAGAGAGAGGGAGTGAGAGAGAGCGAGCACAAGCAGGGGGAGCTGCAGAGGGAGAGGGAGAAGCAGACTCCCAGCCGAACAGGGAGCCCTAAGTGGGGCTCGATCCCAGGACCCTGAGATCATGAACCTGAGCCGAAGGCAGACGCTTAACCGACTGAGCCACCCAGGCACCCCGCATATTGATTTTTGAGACCATGGTTAATCACCGACTGGGTAAAACATTCATGCAAGCTCTCAACCAGGGGCTTTTGGCCCACCTTTGATTTTAGTTCCAGCTGTAATGAGGAGTTCCAAGTCATCTGTTGCTGCTGCTAATGGAATTGACTCCTAACTGTCTGTGGTATCCTTAATACCATACCCTTAAATAGACTTTACCTCTTGCCTAACTCTGTCTGCTTCTTGGGATCATGCACCACATAAATGATCTGCACTTAAGTTCTTGTCTCGGCTCTGTACTTGGGGTCACCCCAACTAAGACAAGATCATCTGAATAATGGCATATTATTACCTTTCAATATCTGAAATAAATGTAGGACAGGAAGTACAAATTGTGCTGTTCTCTAGAAGCCAGAATAAACACCTTTAAAGATGTTGTACTCTTAACTATAAATAAAAACTTAAGTGACCTTGGCGCACTTTCAGCAAAAATCTAGCTTTAAATAAAGGAGATCCTTGCTGCACCATGATATCTCAATCTTTTTGAGCTTTTAAATTTTAACCCTTCAAGGAAATTGAACTTGAATAGTGAGAGCACTTGTTCTTTAGGGAAACTGGGGGCTGTTAAAAAGAATAACCTGATATCTTGTACCAGCTAGAAAATGTGCAAAAATGAGGCTGATGGTGAGAAAAATGCAAAAGTAGGAATCATTTGTGTTGATATCTGACGCTTGGTCTCCTGTATTAGAAACTCTTTGGATCCATAACAATTTGATTTTTCTTCTAAGATTCCCATATAAACGTTATAGCTGTCATTTATTTGCAATGCATCTGAAGAATTTAAGAGAATGTGAGAATTGTTCCAAAATACTCTTTGTTTATGAAGCCATGTCTTGGTTCATCAGACACTTGACTGGACTCTCTAGCATCGAGATAAGCATAGACCCAGAAGAGACATTTTGAAAAGATCACTGACTATAGTCCCTTATTATAGACTTGAAGAAAAAAGGCTTTGACTTGTCCAGGGTCAGACGGTAGTAGCAGACTGGACCTAGGTGTCCTGCCTCAGTCTTCTGTGGCAATGAGGTCACATCAAATCCTGAGGCTCCAGTTGGGTGTGAAAACTTGCCATAATATGTTGACTCAGGTGGACGTACTGTCATTAAATATCAAAAAGGAAGAAGACTGGGGTGTATATCATTAAGGGAAAATAAGGAAACCATTTTTTTTTTTTTGCAAACCACCTGAAAAATAATAAAAATTAACAAAGTTTTGTCTTATTGCATATTTACTGGGGCAAATGTCCATTGAGTATAATACTTAAGATAAGCCTAGTAATATTATTAGTGTTCTCAGTTTAGAATAAAATCTTAAAAATCACAGATGTTTTCTTCAAAATCATCATTATGATTGTGGATTGAAATTTAAGGTTGAATTATAAAGTTTTATATACATTATGAAGTTTCTGAAGGTACTTGTTTTTCTGTGGGTCATTTGAGGGATGCCAGGAGAATATTTCTTGTCCCTAAATTTCTTTCTCAACTGGTCTTCCTGGCATTAAAGTTTTTAACTTTTGGATTATGATCATGGTAGACAGCTAAAGGGACCTCAATGATAGACAGTGGTTTGTCAACTTGAATTACTTATTAGTGCTCTAGCAGAGAGGAGAAACCTGACAGGATAGGGCATAGAATGGGTAAGTTTTGATGTAAGCAGGAAAAAATACCAGCGAAGGGAACTCTGCATCATGGTGTGGACAAAGCTGAAGTAAAATGTCTTTAAAAATGAGAATGTTCACAGAAAGGATAGTAGAAGCTGTTGAATAGTAACACTGACTATCCCACAGTTTTGTCTGGAATTTGCTTTGATTGGCCCTGGGTTTTTTCTTTCAATAACAACACAGTTATTACATTTACATAGTGCTTTACAGGTTATCAAGCACGGCCATAGCCATGATCTCATTTTTTTTTCACTTTTTTAAATTTATTTTTTATTATGTTCAGTTAGCCACTGTATAGTACATCATTAGTTTTTGATGCAGCGTTCGATGATTCATTAGTTATGTATAACACCCAGTGCTCATCACAGCACGTGTCCTCCTTAATGCCCATGACCTCATTTAGGTGACGCTGTCTGTCAGCCCTGGTACTAGTGCCATCATTTTTAGAGACAGTAAAATTGAGGCCCAGGGTTATTAAGTGACTTGTCCAAGGTTACATAACCAGCGTGTAGGGAAGCTGAGATGGGAACTTGCATCTTTTGGTTCTGAGTTCTGTGTTTTTTTCCCCATGCCACATTGGACAGGGACAAGAACTTATGCTTCAGAGTCAGATGACCCCCCAGCCTTGAACTTGCCACTTTTTTTTTCCAGCTGTGTGACCTTGGACATATTACTAACTATCCTGAGTCTCAGTTTCTTAATGTATGAAAAATAAGACATAGCAATACCTATGTTATAGGATTGTTGTGAAGATTCCATTAGGTAAAGCAAGCAAAGCAGCCAGCTTAATTCCTGGCACATGGTAAGTACTCAATACATGGAGCTATAAACACCTGGAAAAGATACCTACTGTCCCTATTTCATAAACTTTTTCTACATTTAGAGGTGAAATGAAGAGCCAGGGCAACTTTCCAGTTTATTCAATGATACCGTGTTTTCTTGGTTTACTTCAATTCCTGAAATGATCTCCTGTGAAAATGTGTGTAGCGTGTGTGTGAAGGCACCTGTGCATGTCTTGGGGGTACACCTGTACGCACATACCCATCAGTACCTGTGTGCATGCACTGGGGGTACAGCGGTGGTTCTCTATGTTTCTAGGCTGTGTTGAACCAGATATAGTGACCGAATGTGGAGCATCTGTCTGCTGCAGGTAACTGCAACCTGGATCACAATCATAAATCTAACTCAAACAGGTAGATCCTGGTTCAGTCACTGAACCTCAGAAGCACAGACTTTGTGCTCTCAAAATATCTGGATGATCCATAGAGTTCCTAGTTTGATGACTGAAAGGTTTGGGTAATACCCTTTAGTAGACAAAACTATGGACTCACAAAATTACGTTGATTTTTGAGTGTACTTTATTTATAATTATTCATTCTTTCTTGAAATCTTTTAGAATCACCTTGATTAAAATCACTACACAAAATAATCTTCACTCTATTTATTATATATTGCACAGAATAATTTAACACTTTATAAATATGTTTCGTTGATGCACAAATGGGAGAAGCACCCTTTGCCAAAAGCACTACAGTAACTTAGTTCAATCTGGCTACGGTAGCACTTTAAAAAATGACCATGAGATGGCGCTGTGGCCAAGTAGATGAAGTATGTCTAAACTGAGTGTTTCCCTAACTATATGGCATTTAATTCCTTTCTTTATAGAAGAATCTACTGTTCAACTTAAAATATTGATTAGAAGTGAGTCTTTTAATCACAGATCTATAAATCATTCAAGCACTGTGTCTCACTGGGGCGGGGCGGGGGTGTTTTAAAAGCCTTAGTAGTCAGAAAGTCCCCAGACTGAAAAAGGGTCCAAAGGTACCATTTTATTTAAGATCGCTCAACTATATAAAGGACCATTGTTTTCACCACCCTCGTAGAATTGTGTTAGTCTTCCCACAAAATTAGGCGAACTTCCAGTTTATTTAAAGAGCTGATACTTCTGTTACATTTTAATCTGCTTTGACAGCAATGGAAGGTCATAGAAACGTTAGAATGTGAATTCACATTTTAATTGACAGGATACAAACATGCAAACATGTGTACATACTGAGTGTTTTCATTAATGACTCTTGCTTTTTCTCCATATAAATATATAAATATCGAATAAAGTGCATGAGAACATGTCTGTACATATACACAGATACATGTTTGTCTATGTACACTTGAATAGATATTTACGGAAAGAAAAAACATACACATTTGTAATATATATGTAGTCAAAAGACATCTGTCAGGCAGTATTTATGTTCATTCTGATCAGGATTGAGCATATGGGGGTAGAATCTAATCTTTTGTCTAATATTTTATGAGATGTGCAGAGTTATAAGTTACGGCAAAATACATTGGAGCAGAGATTTTTTAACATTTGTATTTTTATAAGTTAGTATGGTATTATCATTAAAGTGGTTCAGGTCAAACACAGCCTTGATATAAGTGGTTTACTGTAAATTCTGGCTTTGAAATACATACCTTTCAATGTATCTATAAGGATATAATTGGATAGCCTTAAAGCATTTCCAAATCCCACAGTGGCATCTCCCACATCCTTTAGTTTTCAAATCTATAATATTTTCTCAAATGGCTTAGAGCAAAAAACTATTTTTCATTTAATAGAAATACTTCAGTATTTCTTCTATAACCACATAACATCCAACATCTATTTTAGTAAGGATGTATAATTTAATCTAGAGTAACATCAAGGTGAATTAAGTGCTGTTAATCTCTTTCTCTCTTTAGCAAACTTTTCTACAAAACACTATATTACTGCTCTTTTTTATTAGGGAGTCCAGTGTCAGTGAATAACAAATTAGATTTTTAGGGAAGTAAAACAAAATTTTCTTGAAACTTTAGTGATAGGTTGTGATAGGTTGGGTCTAAGTCGAGGTGTGTATTTCTAAACTACTTTCAAATTTTGACCTCCTGTAGTATTCCCCCCTCGCTCATTTGGTGGGTATTCATTGGCAACCAATTGGGAAACTTATTGAGAAAACTACCCTCAGAGTCAAAACAAGCCTTTTTCTGACCCAGGTAAGAAGAAAACAGTTTGAACCAATTCTCAGAATGTCTGTTAATTAATATTTTTGACGAGGACCATTCTAATTAGGTCATTTTCTTTAAAGGCAGGGATCTTGTTTTAATTATTTTTATATCTTCAGTACCTAGGACATTCCTTCACCGATAGTATACACCCAGTAGATGATCGTGAGGCCAAAGCTGAACAGTTTTAGTAAAGAATATAGACTGATCTAAAGCATCAGTTTACCTAATGGGGCCAATAGGAAAGCCACCTGCATTTTACAGAGGCGTCCTAAGGTTCTGCTGTCAGTAGCCAAAAACCTGAGTTTATTCCTCAATCGTGACACAGTTACATCAATACTGCTTACTGCTCAAAGGCGCGCATGCACGGTGCAGTCATCAAAGAGCGAGTTACCAAACACTGCTATGGTGCTGTTGAGGAGAAGCAATTTCTAGAAACGTATTTAGTAATGTTAAATTATCCTTTTGATAGTTTACCTAGTAGAACAAACACTAAACAAGACCACATTGGAGATTCAGAATAAAGCACAAAGAGTAGAAGAGAAAGCAGCAGTAGTTATTAAATAACATTTTAAAACTTTTTCACTTCTGAGAAGAATTAGCTTGAAATGCAGCAAATGCCAGCAACTTTGTGAATATTTCCAAATGACATCTATGAAAAAGCAGGAATGAAAAAGTCGTCAAGTATTTCATTTAATTATCTTAGCAATACAGATTTCATAACACTGTCCTTAGTGTCTTTTTTTGTTGTTCAAAATATGTAGCATAGTAAGTTTTAAAGAAGATTTTTCTTTAAGAGGTCATTGTATTATATTCAACCAATTTTCACTATTTGTAGCTATTGTTATTTACAGCAATAGGTAACCAACTCATGCCATCAATTAACAACAACAGAGTAGCAAGGTTTCCACTTGAAATAGAAGGTAATTTAGACTTATGGCCTCATTATAATAATACAATAAAAGCTAATTATTTTAAAGACATATCATTTACAATGTTAAAAATAAGTATCATAAAGCTCACAGCTGAAATGCTGTCAGAACATTTTTGAAGTGCACGTTTTGTGTCATTTAACCCTGCTTTTTTTTTTTTCGTTGACAGAATAAAATGAGGCATATAAATATTATTGTTGGTTCTACTAGACTGGCCTAATTTTTTTCCCAGTCTCCCTATTTTCTTTTCTTTCCCCAGAATAGGTGAAAATTTGCCGAGCGTGCCCTCTGTGGTTGCTATGGCAACTTGTCTATCACACACAGCTAACCTTTTCATTCACTGTGTTAATAATGTCTGTAGGAGCATCTTCTGAATGTTGTTTCCCTAGAGCCACCATACTGTAGTCATTATCTGTGCTCTTGGCATCTTTCTTTGAATTCTTTTTTTGTCCCATTTGGAGTTGACTAGATTTGTAGGCCAAGGCCGGTATAGTGTTCACTAAAATTAACTGCAATGGTTTTTTATTTTCCTTGTACTGACACTGAATATACCGGGAAAAGGCTGACCTGTAGGTCTTGTTGAACAGTGTGTATACCAGTGGGTTGACTGCTGAGGAGAGGTAACCGATCCAAACGAACACGTTGAGCAGGGCTCCGATGATATCCTCATTGCAGGACTCTTTACAGATGACGGCCATTATGTTCGTGATGAAGAATGGGCACCACATCACCACAAACAGAAAGAAGACAATGCCCAGCACCTTGCAAGCTTTTTGCTCATTGCTGATGGACTGCATAGTCCTCCTGCCATAGGACCCGGGCTCCCTGTGGATTGATCGCTGGAAGAGCTTTTCCGAAGACAGGGAACTCTGAGGGAGGAAGCTGAAAGACGATAGTTTGGCCCGTGTGCCAAGATCACTCACACACAAAGTAGCTTCTTTCTGGAGTGACTTGATAGTTAGAAAGTAGGTGATCACCATGATGGTTAAGGGAATGAAGAATGACACGAAAGAGCCGATCAGGACAAAATTATCGTCTGCAAGTAAGCAACTCCCTTCCTTAAAGACCTTGGAATCATCCTGTAGGCCGAAGACTGGTATTGGCATAGATATACCTGGAGTTGGACAGAAAATGACACATGACTATTAAGGAATTGTCTACATGAGGAGCATTGCTACGTAATGGCGGCTGTGCAAAGGGTTCTATATCAACATTGTTTAAAAGCTCAATATATACTTGCAGTGAGAATTTAAAATTCTCTTAGACTTACAGATATTATGTAGTTATATAAATTTAATATATAGTTATATGTAGTGACATATTACTTATATATAGTTGTAATATGCATACAAATGTATATAATATATATTAGCTACATATAATATATGATTTCTTATACTTGTATGTTATATTGCCCTATAGAGATAGTCCTTTACTTATAAAGAATTACAGGGGGCACCTGGGTGGCTCAGTTGGTTAAGCGTCCAAATCTTGGCTTCGGCTCGGGTCATGATCTCAGGGTTGTGAGATGGAGCCCCCTGTCCAGCTCCACCCTCAACAGGGAGTCTGCTTCTTTCCCTCTCTCTCTCCCTCTCCCGTTGCTCCTCCCCCCTGCTCATGCACCCTGTCTCTCTCTAAAGTAAATAAATAAATCTTTAAAAAAAAGAAGTATAATAAATCTAGTTTTAATTTTTCATGCTGTATTTTTTAAAGATTTTATTTATTTATTTGAAAGAGAGAGACAGATAGTGATAGAGATAGCGAGAGAGAGCACGAGCTTGGGGAGAGGCAGAGGGAGAGGGACCCGATGTAGGGCTCGATCCCAGGACCTTGAGATCATGGCCTGAGCCAAAGGCAGACGCTTAACGGACTGAGCCACCCAGGCGCCCCTTCATGCTGTATTTTTTTCTGATTACAACATTACACTTATTAATTGAAGAAAATACAGAGTCACACAAAAATAGAAATGACCAATGATGCTACCATCCAGAGATAATCACCATTAACAATGTGATGCTGTTTATTTTAGATAAACACACATACACAGCATTCACATACATTTTACAATTGAATTTCATATACAGTTTATAACTATTTGTCTCCTAACATTTTATCCTGAGTATAGTTTATAAAAATACCTTCATAAAATTGTAAACATATTTTCTTTTCAGAAAATTTGAAAAATAGAAAAATGTAACAATGAATAAAGAATACTAATATATATTCTTGCCAGCCAGGGGAAATTCTAATTTACATTTTATGTAGTTTCTTCTTCCATTTACATGCATATGTAAATATATATGTATATGCAGTATTCTTTGTGCAGATTTAGATCTTCCTGTTCCATTTAACATTCAATCCTGAAAATTGCATAGGTTTAATTAAGTAATTAATTTTGTTTTAAATTGTAATTTAAATTCTAGTTAGCTAACATACAGTGCAATATTGGTTTCAGGAGTAGAATTCAGTGATTCATCACTTACATACAACACCCAGTGCTCATCATAACAAGTGCCCTCCTTAATGCCCATTACCTATCTAGTCCATCCCCCACCCACCTCCTATCATCAACACTCTATATTTAAGAGAAAATTGCACATATTTTAAGGTATTTTTAGAAAATATGATTTTCTAGTGTGAATTTAAAGTAACTCACCAATTATATATTTTTTATTTTTTAACTTTAATTTTGATTCTTTTTTATATATTTATTTTTTAAAGATTTTATTTATTTATTTGACACGGGTGGGAGAGCAAGCACAAGCAGGGGAAGCAGCAGGCAGAGGGAGAAGCAGGCTCCCCACGGAGCAGGCTGGTTACTTCACCCCCACAGTTCCTCATCCATCCTATGATGTGGGCACCAGCACGCCTCCATGGATGTGGGGAGGATAAAATTAATCAAATATGCAAAGCACTTTAGTCCAGAGGGGCTGTTCTGCCAATGGTAGATAAACATGGGAGTAGCCTTCTTCACAGAATTATTCAAATTGAATACATTAACTTGATTTCATTCTATTTTGTCTTAAACCAAAGAAGTTAAAAAGTTTTGGCTATTGGCTACGTTTTAATAATGATGTAATTATTAGCTTCTGCCAGGGTGACAAAGGGCCTCAATCAATTTTAATTTTGTACAGCTAGAACTGTTGATTGCTTTTCTAATGTGATGAATTAGAGCCATTACTATTAGTCATGATAACACATAAACAAAATAACTGTGTGAAAAGAGGTGTATTATTGTTATTTAACTCTTGGGGGTGCATTTTCTTAATGCGAAAGAAGTTGCTACCTTGAGAGTCTTTTGCCCTATTTGTTGCAACTTAGTGATTTATGTAAGTGGCAATTCTCAACCAGAATAAAGTATTATTTAAAACATCAAATTCTTCAATCATTTGGAAATCAGATGAGTGTCCTTGTTTGGGAGAGCACACACATGCGCACACACACACGCCTGTCCAGAATGGCTCAACTCTTGTGGCCAGGGATAGAAAGCAATGATGCAGCCATCTTACTGAAGTAGAGATTCCCTCTTTTAGCTGCCAGGGATAAAGAGCCACTTTATTTTATTTTTTTAAAGATTTTATTTATTTATTTGTCAGAGAGCGAGAGCACAAGCTGGGGGAGCAGCAGGCAGAGGGAGAAGCAGGCTCCCCACTGAGCAAGGAGCCCGATGCAGGACTCGATCGCAGGACCCTGGGATCATGACCTGAGCTGAAGGCAGCTGCTTAACTGACTGAGCCACCCAGGCGCCCCTCAAGAGCCACTTTAAAATGAATACGGCAAGAAGGCACAGCAGGCTGTCTGGAAGCAGGTCCTTGATTTGGAGAAGAATCAAGGAGAAGAATCAAATGTTCTTTAAATGGTCCATTCCTTCTTATGTTTAAACAAAAATGTCCTGACTACTGTTGTATACCATTCTTTCTCAGTGCCTCACTCCTAGTAAGGGGTCGGCAAGGGTTTATGAAAAGAGTAACTAGACAGAGCAATACTCTGTAAAAGAGGGGAAAGAATTTTACGTCAGGAACTAGAACATTTAGGGAAGCTTTGTGGGTACAAGAAGCAGTTCAAAAACACTCTCCTACCAAGAGAGATGAAGACGCTGGCTCATATCCAAGGTTGCGGTCACAGCCATCTGCAGTGCATTAATTTTCTGGCTGCTTTGTTTGATAATAGCTGATTTTGGAGACCTGACATCTCCTCTCACTTGAAATTTCTGCATATAAAGCATTTTCCTTTATGAACAAACAGTAGCTTAAACTACGTGACTCTGCATTTTGCTTAATATATTTTTCTGAGGAGTGGTGAATAGCAGTGAAGATTCACTATCAGTATTGGAGCCTCCATGCACATTTTCATTACGACTCGGACAATGAAATGAATGGGAAACATTGACACCCAGGCGCATGAAGGCTGGGGCTGGTGTCTTCCTTTCAGGGTAGCTCTGCTTACTGTACCCCTGCTTAACATCTAACCACGGTCTGGTGAATGGCCTTCACTCCGAAGCACTGGCTGGGAAAGATATGATTTATTCTCAATCCTAGATTTTCACACGTTAGTATCTTGGGTCGGTACGTGCTTCTGAGGTGTCTCCTTGGAAAATAAGAAGGTTGCCTTACTAGGTGGTGGTCCTCTGATAGGGAACATGACAGTGGGAGTCCCCAGGGCCTTGGGTCTTGTGGGAGGTAGAGGGGAAAGGAAAAACACTGTAGGGCTCTTGTGAAAAAGACTGCATTTTGGTTTATAGGTTTCATTTCCTCTGGAACTACTATCTTTCCTTTGTATTTTAACTTATGCTGAATTTTTTTCATGTTAGAATGGATTTACTAGCAGTTTGACAGAAAGCACCATGAGTGAATGCTGCAGGATCGTCGTCATACTGCGAGGAGAGAGAGATTGAGTATATAGGGAACTGGGGCTGGGACTTATCCTTCTAATACTAAGTGTAAAGCTCAAGAGTTACCAAATTCCTTATAATCTGTGGTCTTCTGACAGGCAGATGTCCATAAAAGTGAGAGCTAGATAAACATGTCAGTTACTCAAGAAATTGTATGTTTCTTCTTAAATCAATTCTTTTTTTCCCTTGGATCAATCCTTGATATTTCTAATAATAAATCATAACTTCTCGAAGTACTTTCACATATATTCATTGACTCTAGACCTTTTTTACACAATTGTAAAAACATTACCCACACTGTCCTATGGGTAGATAAAAATTTCACTTGGTGGAAAAGCTGGGGAGTGGCAGAGCAAGCTTAGGTAATTTATTTAGATTCACACAGCCATTTGGGCGCAAAGTCAAGACTCCTACTTAGGTCTCTCATTTCTTATGGATGATTTTTTTTTACCTGCTTATTTATAAAAGTAGTTATAAAAGTTTATGACTATACCAGAGGTCCTTAACATTGGTTTTAGGAAGTCTATGATGTTCCTAAAATCTGCAGAATTTTCATATATGTACATTTTTTTTGAGACAGAGTTTTCATCAGATTAGCAAAAATGTTCCAGCCTCAAAGGTAGTTAATAAACACTAAGTTATATCAATGCCCTACGTACAGAACACACACACACACACACACACACACACACACTCTCTCTCTCTCTCTCTCTGATGATTCTCTGCACCTAGATACTTTCTTTCTTTTTTCATTCTTTAATCTCAAAGTCAAAATTTCCACTGTTGAGACATTCTTTGAGGCCAGACAAGTATTCCAAAACTAAAATCCTTATAATCAACCCCAGTTTCTTTTTTATGTGGCAGTTATTCTTAACTTCAGCTGCATATTAGTATCACCTAGGGTGCTTTTTAAAAATTACATTGCATGGGCTCCGTTCCCAGAGGTTCTGACATTAGTACTTTTTTAAAATGCTAATGCTCAGGCCCCACATGAACACTGTTATTCAAACAAAAGAATACCTGGGTAACACCGATACACAACTAGTGCTGAGAACCTGGGATGTATAGAGTTAAACGCATAGTAAAAATGTCTTTACTTTGAGGGGCACCTGGGTGGCTCAGTCAGTTAAGCGTCCAACTCTTGATTTTGACTCAGGTCATGATCTCAGGGTCGTGAGATCTAGCCCCGCATCTGGCTCCGCACTGGGTGTGGAGCCTCCCTA